ATGGCCTGCGGTTTGGGGAGGGAGGCCCCGGCAGGCTCTCGGCAGTTCCTGTAACAGAACCAGCCTCTCCTGTCAAGCCTGAAATCAAATCGCCAGAACCTCCAAAGCCAGCCGGAGATGAGCAATGGATAAGCCACTCTGGGGGCTGCTCTGAGCTCCTGCTTCATGAGTTCTGACACCAGCTCCAGCTTGGCGTCCTCACAGCCAGGCTTGGCCACTGGCAGCTCCCCACGTTGCTAGGATCCCTGGTTAATCAGAGGAGCCAGAGTCGGCCACAGTCGGCCTGAGCTGTGGCGTGTTCTTTGTGCTCCGTGGGCCCGTGGCTGGGTGGCTGGTGTTGGGAAAGGAAAAGGGGACGGCTGCTCTGGCCCACATGGTGAATGCTCGCTCTGGCAGCAGTCAGCAGTGCCGGGGCTAATACTTCTCACGGGGACTGTCAGAATAACCCGGGACAGATTGTTAGTGCCCGGGGCCGCTGGGTGCTAGGTTACTCCCTGTAGCAAAGGGTTAATCATTCCTGTGTTCCTGGAACCCACTGCCAGCCCGCATAACCTCAGTCTTATGCTGACATGGCGGTCGCCAACAGCTAACACAGCTCACAGCCCGGGTCCGCCGTGTGGCTGGAGGGTGCACAGGAAGCTGGCTCTCTCCCTGCTCCAGATGGTCGCTCCCCACCCCTCCAGGGCTGGCCGCTGCGTTGGCCAGGAGACCACTGCCCGCTTCTCCCACCCAGGGCCTGCGTGCATTTTTCCACCCAGGTTGGCTGACCATGGTGCCGACCATGGAATGCTGGCCCTGGCCTTGCCTCTATTGATTTTCCAGTGGTCCCTGGGAGGCCCAGCATGGTCCTCTGGTGTCCCGGGTTTAGGGTGGTGACTCCGTCCTGAGAGGTGGCATGGCAGACTGGGTGAAAGGAGGGGCTGAGCCAGGGCCCTGCGGAGGCCAGGGCTGGTGCATTGCCGGAAAGCTGGGGACACAGGGGTCAGTAATGCCAGCAGGGAAGAGGAGGGAGGCAGAGAGGGGAGGGGAGCAGCCAGTGGGTGCATGGCCTGACCCTAAGACTGCACGAGAGCAGGCTACCATTAAGGGATGGGCACCTCCTCCCTGCGCTCCCCCGGCCCCTTCTTTCCTGCTCCCGCTCCTCGCCTTTGAGGAGTGTCTAAGAGGAGATCACCTTGTCCCCTATCCCCTTGCATGGCTTGTGCTTCGTACTACGCAGAATAGACTCAACACACCACTCTCTACAAGCCGGAGGCCCGCCAAGCGCTGCCCACCCAGTGAGGAATTCGCTGGGGGTTTGCAGGCCTGCAGACCAGCCCTGTCCATCAGCCGACTCCCGGGGCTGCAGGCCAGAGCCCAGCGTGACATTCCAGCAGCTTCTGGCTGCCTGGCGGCCCAGCCCCACCTTTGTCTCCTTGTGAGCGGAGCGTGCTGGTAAACAGCAACAGGAGCCCTGGTTCTGGAAGGCAGCGCAGGGTTCTTGATAAGCCGAGCCTATCAGGCAAACGCCGATTCAGCCCCAGATTGCATGTGCACTGACCTGGGCACGCCAGCCTGCCCTGGCTGGAAACACCAGCTCTGCCACTTGGGGCGCATGACCTTGGTTGGATGAGGAAAGCTCTCGTCAAGGCTTGGTTTCGCCTATAAAATGGGATCAGCAGTTCCTCCTGCCAGCCGGTGCTCTGGGCATGAATAGTAAAGGAGTAGGTGTCAGCCGGTGGCATTGTCATCATTATCATCACTGATTCAGAGATGAGAGAGAGGGAGCCATGTGCGGACAGTGGGTTTGCACCCCTACTTAGACTTCAAGGCTGGAGCACAGGCCAGGCAGGGAGACAAGGCTTCTGTTCCTTTGTTCAGCACTCAGGAGGTGCCTGTGCTGGGGGCTGGGCTGCAGAGACACATAAGCATGGTCTTGCCCTGGAGGGACCTCAGCCTGCCAGGAGAGAGATGACACTAAGCAGAAAGACAACTGCTGGGACGCTGATAAAATCAGGGGGCCAGGCTCAGGACCCTGGAGCCTTCCTCAGAGGGATTTACACAGGGGGTGGGGGGACTGGGGAGGCAGCCCTTTGCGGGTCCTACCACACACTTGGTCCAAATATCAGACCCACCAATGGGCAGCCGTGGTGCCTCTGCTGGGTTCTTGACTTACCCAGCGGGGTCTGTAAAGAAATGTGGGGAAGAAAACCAGTAAGACCCCTCAGCCCCAGGGAATGGCTGTGCTAGCGCTGGGGACAACGTGGGCTAGAAGAGGAGGAGCCAGGGGCCCAGAATGGACAAGAGAGCGATGCTGCGTGAGTATGAAGCCGAGGTGCTGAGCCGGGCCGTGTTAGTGGGAGCTAGGGTAGTTTTGCATCCTGTTGGCCACAGCCTGGAGGACCCAGTGGCCCCAGGTAGACCTCCCAGGTCATGGGAGGGAGGGTCTGCAAGCTTGCCCCCCACCCCCACCCCCGTCCTTCTAAGACATCAGGCTCCTGGTCCCCTGAAGAGGGGATCTTACTAGGGCCTAAGGGGGCTTGACACTGGTCCCAAATCAGCCCTCACTGACACAGCAGGAAGACTTGGGCTCTCTCCAAGGGCCAGACTGGCCCCAATGGCCCTGCCCAGAGCCCCTGCCAGCCTCCCCACCAGCCAGGCGCCTGCACTAGGCCAAGACAATGCTCGCTTCTGCTCCTGTGTGGGCAGCACCCCTGAGCTCCTTCTGACCTAGGGGAGATAGAATTCTGCCCCAGGGAGCCAGGCTCAGAGAGCCATAGACACAGGGGAGTGTGGGGATGTGTAGGAAGCTTGGGCACTGAAGAGCAGGGTGCTTCGGGGCAGCGGAGGTGGGGAACAGATGGGGGATTCCTCTGTGGTCCCTTTCTCCTTGGGTCATATCCCCTAACTAAGCCCTGGCAGATCCAGGCAACTGGACCAGATCCTCTCGGATACCCGCTCTTTCCTGTGGCTGTTAAAAACACAATAGGTTTTTAATAAGAAAAACAAAAAAGCCTTTTATTTTCATCTGATGCCTCTGCAAGCAGACTTCAAAAAGTTAACAGGAAAAAAAAAATTTTAATATGTGTTTGTTTTAATGCAAAAAAACCTTGAAGTCTATGCTTAGTTTTTTTTTCATAATATGCATTTTCCATTCATTTTTGAAGACCCACCCCCCAACATGTATTTTGAATAAGAAGGGGGATTAGAAAAATAGAGTCCTGGTAAGTAAAGAAGGGCATTCCCATATGGTAAAGTATAGGCAGTGGGTCAGCCCTGTGGTCTGGTGGTTATGGAAGCTAGATCCCACATGGTCAGCTGAGTAGTTCGATTCCCAGTCCTCGTGTACTGAAAACCACACTGAGCCCCTGTGTGTGTGTGTGTGTGTGTGTGTGTGTGTGTGTGTGCGTGCGTGCGTGCAGTATCCTAGCAGGATAGAGAAATGGAAGTGAAGAGATGCGGTGTGACCATAACCCATCTAGGGTGCTTTCTCATTCTCCCTCTCTCTCTGACAAGCACACACACCCTCTGGCAAAAAGAGAAAAAAAAAAAGATAAAGAAACAAAAAGAAAAAGAAACCTTAGGCAGCCTCTTAAAATCATATTTACCAGCCATTCTTAATGACATGAAAACCAGAACACAGGTTTTTGCTATAGGGCGCGTGCGCTCGCCAGACAGAGAGAAAGAGAGACAGAAAGTGAGAAATCACCCCCCAGGGGGGATGGCCACGCCGCAATCCCTTCTCCTCCACTCTCCTCTCGAGATCTTGGGCACGCACGCACACGCGCCCGGCGTGAGTTTAAGCCACCGGGTCCAGGACTTGAACTGTGGTCAACTACATGGGAGTCCAGCGACATAGCCATTACGCCAACTGCTAGTTTCCTACGCATGTTCTTGCTCTGCAGGTTCTGCAGCATTGGTTGGTACGGTATTTTCTGTGTAGCACATATTTTTTACAGGGGTTTTAATTTAAAAGTAATGAGATGCTCCAACAGGTGTGCCCTAACACCATGGACTAGGACCAAGTGCTGAGATGGTGTCAAGCAGGCCGGCCCGCCAGGCCCTGCCTCAGGGAGCACTGGGGCCTGGGCTGGGGGTGTTGGAGGCTTCCCCTGGCCTCACCGGGCCTTGCTCTCTGTTCCCCATAGACGAGGGGCTGTGGGACATCCTTATCAAAGACATCCCCAAGGAGGTGAGCTCCTACACATTCAGCATGGACATCCTGAAGCCGGGCGTGAGCTACGACTTCCGGGTCATCGCCGTCAACGACTACGGCTTCGGCACCCCCAGCAGCCCTTCCCAGTCTGTGCCAGGTACCAGCCTATGGGGTGAGGGGTGGGTACCCCACAGAGGAGCCTGGGGACAGAGGCTGGGCAGAGGGGAAGGAGAGGACCCACAGGATGCCAAAGCCATTGGGAAGGTGATCAAAACTGAGGGGTCCCCTAGTTCTCCGAGCAGTGCCGCAGGGGTCAGGGCTGGGGTCAGCTCCAACTCTGGGGAAGTGGACCTTCAGTCTTTCTTTTAGAGAGATTTTGCTATAGGCACGTGTGCCCACTGGAGAGACAGAGAGACAGGAAGTGAGAAATTGGGGCACGCATGCACATGTGTCCAGCATGAGTTTTAAGCCACTGGGTCTGAGGCTCAAACCACGGTAGACTGTGTCAGAGTCCAGCAATGTAATCACTATGCCATCTGCTGGTCCCAGTCTCTTGGGTACCCTTTCAAGGCCTTGGGTATGAGTGAGATAGTAGGCCCAGAGTGCGAGCAACCATGAGCTCTTCACCCAGCAGGTTCAAGAGCACCAGGCAAAAACTATTTCCATGGAAACCACCCCCCCAAAAAAACAACCTCCTGTGAATTAGTGACTGACAGGGCAGGCCTCTTAGACCAGACAGAACAGTGCCCAGGACCGCCCCTCCACTCTCTTCTCCCCATCCTTCCCACCTAGAATGGCTCAGAGCTCTCAAAGGAATCCTGTATCTAAACCTGTGACCCCAACTCTAAGCACTAGCCACTCTGAATACCGAGGCTCCTTCCTCACAGACAGAAGTACAACCTGCGATCTCTACTCCCTGGAGGAATCCTAGAAACCTGGCCTCTTCCCTCCTCCTGCACTCCTTCTCCTTGCCCAGATTGGTAGAACCAAACCTTGGGACAGAAACACTTCAAGACTGGTCCGGCCCCATGGCCCAGTGGTTAACGGAGCCAGATCTTACATGGACAACCATATGGTTCAAATCCCAGCCCTAGTGACTTGGAAAATATGCCAGATTTGTACATGCATGCCTCAGATCCCAACAGGATGGTGAGATGGAGGAGCAGGGGGTGTGCTGTGACTACATTCCTGTTGGGGGTGCTTTCTCCCTCTTGTCTCTCCATCTCTCTGTCTCTGACAAGCTCACACACTCTCTAGCAAGTAAAAAGGAAACACTTCTGGGGTCAGCAGGTGGCGTGGTAGTTAAGCTGCTGGACTCCCCCATGGCTGACCACGGTTCCCAGACTTGGTGGCTTGAAAATCACACTAGACACATATGCACACATACCCAAAATCCCAAGAGAATGGAGGAGAAAGGACTGTGGCATGGTCATCCCCCCACGGGTAATTTTGCACTGCCTCTCTCTGGCTAGCGCACATGCCTATGGCAAAAACCTTAAAAGAAAGAAAGAAAAAAGAGACGCTTAAGAAGAGCAGCATGGATTAGTATTAGTGGCTCAGAAAACATAGTACTGGGACTTTGAAAGAAGAGAGCCCCACCCATTTGTGTCACCCTCCTGTGTCACCAATTCGCATCTCCCTGAAGGCCAGAGAAACACACACAGAAATCTGGGTCTGCATGTTAACAAAACCTCTAGGCAAAGGAAGACCAAAAAAAGGAAAAAGTAGCTAGTACACGGTCACTCTCCTCTCTTGTGCCCCAGCAGACATCACCAAAAGTAGCTAGTATTCTCCTGTCTCACTCTCCTATCTTGTGCCCCAGTAGACATCACCAAAAGTAGCTAGTACTCTCCTGTCTCACTCTCCTATCTTGTGCCCCAGCAGACATCACCAAAAGTAGCTAGTACTCTCCTGTCTCACTCTCCTATCTTGTGCCCCAGCAGACATCACCAATCAACCCAGCTCTGTTTCCTGATGAGTTTGGAAGCAACTTCAGAATCTTTTTCCAGACACTCCTCCTCCCCAACCCTTCACCTTTACTGACTGATCAAAGCTGGCAATCGAGATGAAACCACCCTTACCAGCTTGTCATAGGTTCTGCCCTGTTCAGAGGGCACAGGCCCCACCTACTCATAAATCATGGGGGTACTTGGTGGGGCCCCCACTGGGGTAGCAGGGTTGGAGGTGAAAGGGGGCTGAGCATCCAGGACCTGACACCTCGCCTCTGTTCCAGCCCAGAAGACCAATCCCTTCTATGAAGAGTGGTGGTTCCTGGTGGTCATCGCCCTCGTGGGCCTCATCTTCATCCTGCTTCTGGTCTTCGTGCTCATCATCCGAGGCCAGAGCAAGAAGTACGCCAAGAAATCGGATTCGGGTGAGTGAGCTGGTCCTGGCCTGCTGGCTGGACCGACTTCTGTGTGCCCACCTCCCTTGGGCCGGGCAGGGCTGGGCAGGCCTCCCCCACGTGCCCCTGCTGTGGTAGACCAGGCAGCTGCCGTTGCTGCAGTCTCTGGCCCCTGTTGTCCCAGTTCCAACAGGAGAAAGGGGACGTCCTAGCCAGGTGGGAAGTCAGAGGGCAGAGAGGAGGCCATGCCGTCTAAAGGGTGTCCCCCACCCTCCAGGGAGCAATGCCAAGTCTGGAGCCCTCGGCCACGGGGAGATGATGAGCTTGGACGAGAGCAGCTTCCCTGCCCTGGAACTCAACAACCGGCGTCTCTCTGTCAAGAACTCCTTCTGCCGGAAGAATGGCCTGTACACCAGGTACTGGGCCCTCTGTGCAGGGGCTTGGAGGGTGGAGGCTTGGGAGCCAGGCCCTAGGGCCAAGCAGAGCCTGGGTGTGGTGAAGCTGGGGGTCCACAGAGCAGGCAGTGCCCACCCAGTCCTACCCTGTCCTGAGAAATAACATTCGAGCTATGGGGCTGGGAACGGTCACGGGCAGACTTGGCACGGCCCAGCAGGTGGACAGGGCTTGCCCTGGTCTCACTAGACCTGGCCTGGCCTGAGGCAAAGGCAGACTGGCCCAAAACTCACCCGGAGGTGGCTGTTTAGGGTCCCTGCCACAGCGGCAGCATGCAAACACCATGCAGAATTCTGCAAACACCTGCTGCTGGTTGCAGCCAGATGCTCCAGTAACAGGCAAATAGCCACTTGCACAAAGGTGAGACGGACCCAGCCGTGGCACCCTGGGTGTCTGGGCAGACACACAGTACAGCTAATTCCCTCCCTTCCTAACTCCCTCCTGGTCCAGGCAGGTATAGCGACCCTCTCCCCTGGGCCCTTGTTCACTCCCACTGGAGGACAGTCCCAGCCACTGTCACCCTCCCAGGGTGGCAGCCAAAAGCAACCAATGAGGAAAGGACAGGCTGATCGTGCATTGCCCTGTTTTCTCCAACCCAGGGCCCTCCTGGGCTCCAATTCCTGTGGCCACCGGGCTGTCCATTTCCAAGCCAGGGACAGCTGCTGGGCCCCCTGGGCCCTCCTGTGGTGTGCTGCTACAGTTCTATGCTCCAGGAGCTCAGAGAGATGGGGGGGCTGCGCCCAGAGGGGCTCCTGCCTGGGCCTTAGCCCCATTAATATTCCCCGCACATTGGAGGCAAAAGCAGGGCAAACCGAGCCTCTCAGGCAGAGCTCACAAAGCTTCTCTCTGTCTGGTCTGGAGTCTCTGTGGGAGGACGCGCTGTGTGAGTTCACCAGGACAGGAGGGAGGGACAGAGGGCGGGGCTCCAGGCCAGCGGGGACAGCTCTCATCTCCTGCCAAGTCCAGCCCCAAAGAAAGAGCTGCTTGAGGCCTCCGTGGCAGGCCTAGCCGGACCCAGCATGGCCAGAGCAGTCCCGCCAGACTGGCCCCAGGGTCTGGTGCAGGAAACAAGGGGGCATTTCACAGCAGCCTCACCTACCCCGGCCCTTCCCTGTACCTCCCCCCCACAGCACACACCCCAAGGCCCCGCGTGTCACCTGCAGCGCGGCGTATACAAACCTCGTCTGTGCCACCAGCCCCAGGCTCCAGGGCCCTCGCCCCAGCTGTGGTGACACTGCCCATGCCCACTCCCTCCCCACTGGCCCCGCAGGTCACCACGACAGCATCAACTGCCACATTCCTTCCCTGCTGCTCCTCAGGCCCAGCTCCAAGGCCCTGGCAGACGCGGGGTGGAGGGGGACACAGATGTAGGGGCTCCATGGGCCTCGGCTCCTCCAGGCCACCCTCTGGTCTCCTGGCCAGGGAGTCTGCTCCAAATGAGGCACGCTCAGCCTCTCTCCCACCCTCCAGGTCGCCTCCACGGCCCAGCCCAGGCAGCCTGCACTACTCCGACGAGGATGTCACCAAGTACAACGACCTCATCCCAGCAGAGAGCAGCAGCCTGACCGAGAAGCCCTCGGAAATCTCCGACTCTCAGGTGCGGGGCAAGAGGGCCGGGAACCCGGGGTGGGGGCAGCACCGTGGGGTAGGCAGTGAAAGCAGAGGCTGCAGCAGAGGCCTCGCAGGAGGCCTGTTTTAGGGGCTTTCTTCTTTCCCTTTCTTTCTGGGGCTGTAAGGATGAAGGGGGCTAAGACACTACCCACAAGTCATTCACGAGCCAGTTGCCACCCCTCAGGTTCTGCTCAGTTTGTCTCTAGTGCTAAGGGGGTCCCTGGAACCATGACATAGGAGCCCCCACAAGGAGCTCCCCCAAGAGTATGGACCTCTACACTTATAGGAGGCACCACATGCTGTTCTTGGTAGCTCTGACCTGCAAAGAGGAAGCTGCAGGCCAGGAAAGGGTGCCCCCAACAGCCAGAAGGTGGGCACGGCCTTGCATTGCCAGAAGCCTAGAGAGGCTCCCACCTTCACCACTCAGGATCAGAATGCATTCCTGAAACCAAGGAGGGAGGCAGTGTAGACCAGCCAGGCTTTAAGCTTTGATGATCTGACCCGAGTTTGGATCCCAGCTCTGCTGCCTCTGACCTGGGGCTCTCTGATGTGCTTGGTAACACCTTTGAGCCTCAGTTTCTCCACCTGTCGAATGGGCAGGGGTGACCCTAGATCTCTTACGGTGCTGTGGGGAGGGTTTGCCAAATGAGATGCAGGTTAGCTCAGCGCGGGGCGTGGCACACAGCAGCCATCCCATTAAGGTCGACTTGACGTCAAGAGGGGCCCAGTCCAGTGGCAGAGTCAGTAACAAACTGATCTGCAGCACTGGAAGCCACACGACTGGCTGCAGTTCAGATCCCAAATCGACCTACAAATCCACCAGGTACCCGTGAGCCTAAGATCCTCACAAGCTGGAAGGCTGTGGGAAGGGAGTCGTGGCACGGTGACTCCGTCTCTCGCTTGTGCACTCGTGTGCTGTCTCTCATGAATAAAATATATAAGCTTTATATTAAGACCAGGACAGCGCCTCAAAAAGGCACAGAGATTTTGAGAGCCAGCACTCGGCAGGTCACGCAGGGACACTGTCCCAGGCTCTGAGGGAAGGGGCCCAGTCCATCCCAACCCTGCAATGTGACAGCCTCCCTCGCAGGCCCCCTTGGCCTTGGCCAGGCCTGGTGGTTGCCAAGGAAAGGCCACGAAAGGCCACTGTGTCCCATGCCCCAGACCTTTCTGTCCGGCCCTGGGAGAGGAAGAGGAGGAGGAGGTGCCCCAGGGGGCAGGGCTGTTGGCTAGGTGGGAGGTGCCAAGAAGCCTAGGATCCGGTCATGGGCCCCATGGACTGAGGGCCTCTGCTTGCTGCTGTTTTGTTCGGCTCCAGGGTTACTGATGAGCTTGGCAGAGCCAGAAAGGCTAGACCCGACTCCCCAGCTCAGAGCTGGCAAGGATAGAGACCCCAACTTAGCCCAGCTTGCTCAGAGAGCCCAGTGTGGGGACAAAGCGGCTTCAAATCCACATGAGTCAGGCCACAGCATCTTTTGTGGGCTTTTAAGTCTCTGCAGCTGTGCAGACATTGGGACTCATAAGCTGGCATGTGGAGTCCGGGTCTTTCCCCTGAAGTATGGTTGGTTTTTCTTTTTTCCCCAAAGATGACGGTCTGTATTTAGATCCTAGCCTCTCAAGGCAGACATAAGGAACTCCCTCTGCCCATGGGCTCCCACATGGGCTTCTGGAGCCATGCTCCCATCTGTGGAGCGTGCACGGCTGAGAGGAGGGGCTGCCCTCAGCCGTCTACAGAGCACAGCACTCTTCCACCCTCGCTGGCTGGGTGCCGAGCTTTCAGGGAGTCAGTCCTCTGAGTGCAGACGCTGCCTGGATAGCTGGAGTGTTTGTCGTTACCATCCGTGCATGAATCTAGATGACCCACACATAGGACTCAGGGCTGGTCCTTGAGGCCATGCCGAGGCCTTCCAGCCCTAAAGAAGTTACTGGGAGAAGAATCTCTGTGCTCAAGACCACTCCTCTTCAGAAGTTGCCTCCAGGGTGGACAGGGGGTGCTTGGAATCCTCTGCTCAGCCCTTGGCCTGCCGTTTAGAACGAGCCCATGACTGGAACACTGTTTCCATAGCAAGTAGGAACCAGCCCCTGCAGTGCACATGACCTAGGGGAGGAGGCCCTTCGGGTGCCAGAAGTCAGTTGGCACAAAGGAATGCCCCAGTGCCTTTTGAGGGTGATTGAGCACAGCCCAGGCTCTGAACGCCTACCTATAGAGTATGGGATGGTTTGGGTTTGAGTTGAGTCTTGGTTGGGTTGGGTTGGGTTTATTTACTCTGCAAGCTAAGTTCCAGGGAAGCAGAAACTTTTCACAGTCTTGATCATTGTTGTGTTCCCAAAATCGTAAAAAGACTACTCTATAAACATTTATTTAAAAAATGAAAGGTCAGCTCAGCAGACAGCATAGTGGTTATAATCCTGAACTCCCACATGGCCAACCGCGATTTGAGTCTCAGACCGGGAAACTTGAAAATCATGCTGGGTGCTTGTGCACACATAACCCAAATTCCAGGAGAATGGGGGAGAAGGGATTGCCGCATGGCCATCCCCTGGGGGGGGGCGTGATTTCTCACTTTCCCTCTCATTGTCTCTCTCTGTCTTGCTCCAGTGAGAGCACATGCCCTATGGAAAACAACTTTTAAATTTTTTTTTAAAAGAGGAGTGGTCTGAGGCCAGCAGGTGGCATGACGGTTAAGGTGCTGGACTTCCACTTGGCCAACTGCAATTTGAGCCCAGACCTGGCAGCTTGCTTTCTCACTTTCCCTCCCTCTCTCTGTCTGTCTCTCTGTGTCTCTCTCTGGTGAGCACATGTACCCCATAGCAAATTAAATAATAATAATAAATAAAATTAAGTAAATATATAGATATATATCATTGAGAGGTCCTTGGGGAAATCAGGCAGAGTAGACTCAAAACCAAATACAGATCCCCAGGATAGAGAGGCAAAGATCGTAGTTTAAAGTGGTTACTCTTTTTTGACCAACACCCCCACACCACATACACATTCAAACAAGCGTGATCCCTTCAGAGCAACACTGATAACCACCGCCCTATCCCCTGAGGCTGTGTGCTGCCCCCCACAGGGCTCCTCACGTTACTTCACCTCCCCAGGCTCTCAGGTCAGAGGGCTGAGTGAGTGGGCTCAGAACCTAGAGACAGAAAGTACCGACCTGAGATCCGAGTTCCAGCCGAGCCAGACCCTGCGCACAGGCATCCTCACTACAGAACCAGCTGAGCCCTCCTGCTCTGCCATGCCCTGGAACCCTGCCCACGAGCCAGTCATGTCACCCTCACTGCAGATCTTTCTGGAAAACCTAAAGAACCCACTGCTAAGATGCTCAAGAGGACCAGATACCTTATTCCTCTATCCCATCATACTTGAGAGTCACCCTGGATTTTCTGAAAGAAAAAAGGAAGCCTCAAGCCTGTCCCTAAAGAACAAAGACAAGCTGGGACCAGCAGTTAGCGTAATGGCTATGTCGCTGGACTCCCATGTTGTCAACCGTAGTTCAAGTCCCGGACCCGGTGGCTTAAACTCACGCCAGGCGCATGTGCGTGCCTGCCCATGATCCCGAGAGGAGAATGGAGGAGAAGGGATTGCGGTGTGGCCATCCCCCCGGGGGGTGATTTGTCACTTTCTATCTCTCTGTCTCTGTCTGTCTGGTGAGCGCACGCGTCCTATAGCAAAAAACCTTTCCAAAAAAAAAAAAAAGAACAAAGACAAGCACTCATGGTGGTAAAGTGCTACAGGCACTAAAGTTGCTCCCTGAAAAGACACCCAGGCAACTTTGGGTAACAAGATCCCTGGGATAACTATCTGGTCTTCTCAGAGGGCTGCTTGGAAGGGAGACACGTATGTAAAAGCAGCACATGTAATGGATTGGTGAGAGCCCCATAATGACTCTGCAGCCCGGGGAGCGTCCTTCCCAGCCCTTTGTAATACCATCCACCCAAAGAGCTCGTCTTAGCCTATTGTTGTGTTGCTAGCAGAAATACAAGGCTGGGTGATTTGTAGAGAATAGAGGTTTATTTGACTCAGGATTCTGGTGGCTAGAAAGTCTGAAAGTGTGAGGCTATGGAGCAAAGAAGGCAGACAGAGAGAGAGAGAGAGAGCGCGCGAGGAAACAGAATTCCCCACTTCCCCTGGTTGTCCCTCCCATATCCCCCAGCCAACTGGATCCTGCATTCTCATTAGGCTCCACCTCTTAAAGGTCTCACCTTCCAAAGCCATTACATTAGGGACCAAGTTTCCAGAACATGAAATTTTGGGGAAACACAGCATTATCCAAATCATAGTTTTCTGCCCCTGACCCTCAAGGTTCGTGTTATTCTCATATAAAAAATATAGTCATCCTCTTCCACTAGGTTAAAAAGTCCTAATTTGTTCCATCACCAACTCAAAGGTCCAAGTCCAAAGCCTTTTCCGAGACTTGAGGCAAACTCTGTTCAACTGTGAGCCTATTAAATGAAGAAAACACGGTGGCAGCTTTCCAGATGTAATGGTGAGACAGAGTAAAAGTTCCTTTATCACAGGCCAGTAGGTGGCGTGGAGGTTAAGGCAGCTGTATTCCACGTGGCCGACTGCACAGTTTGAGTTCCGGACTGGCAACTCAAGAATCATGTTAGACGCGTGTGTGTGCCCAAAATCCTAGAAGAGACTGGAAGAGAAGGGACTGTGGTGTGGCCATCCCCCTGGGGAGTGATTTCTCACTTTCTCTCCCTCTCTCTCTGTATTTTTCCAGTGAGCACACACGCCCTATAGCAAAACCTGTTAAGATAAAATTCCCACATCACCAGAAAAGGAGTAGCAGACGCCAAGGAAGTCCATAAACCCAAGAGAGTAGACATGAGATCTTAAACCTGAGAACGACCTCCTATGACTTCATGTCTGGAGAGTCAGACCCCTACTTTGGGGCACGAACCATTGTCTAACCACAGCAGGGCTGTTCCCAGAGTAGTCCGTGAGCAGAGGCCGAGTCTGTGCAGCCCCAGGCT